TACGTGGGAGAGTGTGTGCGATCAGCAGCGTAGGCATATAGAACAACTTCAGAGAAAGGGAGATTTTGCTCGGGGAGCCACTTGTGTTGAGCTCGTAACCCTGCTTGAACTTCTTGGAAGCGCTCTCTGTTCAGCCATCTAAGGTCTGACCCTCGCACCAATATCAGCCGATATCTTGCTCGCTTCACTTCGTCAGCTTGCTGATCGTAGTATTGATTGGCAATTGCAAGGGGAGGGTACTCCCAGGTTGGTGCCGAATTGAGTGACCACCGACTTAGCTGTGCTAGATTCTCTTGGACTGGGTCAGGGTCAAATTTTGGCATGCTCCATGTCGTTTCTCCTCTCCGTAGGCCCCGGATGCCATATGCAATGGCAGCAATCACCTGTACCATGCCCATGAGCCCTATCATGTCTAGCGGGGAGACCACCTTCAGTCTGGAGCGCCCTAGTGCAGCAAAGCCTGCCAACATGGATCGGTGCGCTGATGGGACGTTGTGATTCTGCTCATGGCTCACTCTAGGGGAGAGTGGCCCTATGTGAGATGCACTGCGAACCTCTGGAACATCTGACTTGCAGCAGTTTTTGCTGGGACGATGACACCTTGTAAATCCTGCTAGTCAATCTGGTGCTGGTACAGCAAACCTGCCACCTCTTCAAGTTTGTGGCTTGAGCTCGATTGCCATGTGCGAGCGGCGCAATTGTGTACAGGTCGCTGAGTAGCAATCTTTCTTTGCTTAAGCCTTCCCTCTGCACGAGTGTATTCTATTCATCTGCAATGACCTTACGGAGAGGATCTTTTTTATCTGCGGAGATCTTTCACCATTGGCACCTTTTCAGGTCCTCTTGGCTTCCTACGATATGACAGCATCTGGGATGAATTACAGTTATTGTCCTGCATGACCTACAGGCTGTCAATCCCTACCCCCCTTGAGGGGGGTATTGAGTCACATCACCACTGCGGCAGTATCTTACTACAGAGATTGGACTCCAACTTCACTCATCATCATAGGACCAACTTTGGCAATGAGAATGTCAACTGATACGAGCTGTACTGTCAGCTATTCCTGCTTTGCCTACCTTTCAGAGAGCTGGAGTGACAGTCACGGTTGTATGGATGATTGGAATCTGGGTGATCGTGTACTATATTTTTCGCTCTGCCGCACTTAATTAGTTTGCATGTTTTTGATGACGATACAGTGGCTTAGGTCACTGTATTCAAGGCAAATCTCAAGTTGTTTGGTTTTTGTTTGGGCCCGGCCCCGTTCTTTGTTGCTTCGCTGTTTGCTTTATGGCGAAACGCAAATCTGGCTGGGGGATTTGCGGGTCGTTTTGGTTGCGTTTTTTCTTTGGTTTTTTGTTTGTGTTGATGTGATGATTTGCCCGCGTTTTTGGACCACACGAGTCCTTTTTCTAAATGCTTTTCACCGCTTACGCTATTGTAAGGACCGTGCCTGGTGCGAATCGGCCAAACCGGAGGAAAAAAAAAAAATAGCGGGGAGACCAGCAGGGTTAACGATTTGGATCGAGTGAGTCCGACAGTGATTCTGCCTAGGCAGTCTTCAGTGTCTTCTGTAGGAGAGCCATTGGAGTAATACTTAGTGTTGAGAAATCCAATACTGGGCTGAGCTACGATTGATACCTGCGCTGTTCCTCCTGCCGAATTGGCTTTGTTTCTACACGCAGGGTGCGAACAAATCTCTTTTGAGCACGGAGCGGTTCAAATTGTTCTTATGATCAGTTGCTGTGGTCATTGTGAAAAGTCCATCGGCAAATCCAGCATTGTGAGGGAAGGGGCTGAGTACTTCTGACACTAGAGTTTCTAAATCCGTCGCTACCAAACCGTTGATCCTAGCATTAGTATCCCAGAGCACTAGTTGGAACCCGGGTGGCTTGTCGGGAAGGCCTCCCGAAGCAAAAAAAAAAATGACGCCACAAACATGTACGCATTTGGGTGTGTCAGCAAGTGAAAATCAAAGCAAACATGTGAGTACGGGTGGCCATGAGACATGACAACGGTGAGCACAAAACCCTCGGACAATGATTACTCTTTTTTGAACGAACGCTTGGGGAATGTTCGAATTTCCCTCGGCCTCATAGCCCCATCTAGAAATTCTCAGAGGGACCAGAGTTCGTTGTGCATAGCATAGTGATCAGTTTGTGTCCACATTTATTCTCCTGGCTCCAAGGAGTTCAAGTTTGTTGAACCTTCCTCTCGACGGGTCGTCGATCAAGTTGGAATGCATTGGGACGCGACCGAAGAAAGGGTGCAGGTCGATTGCAGCCTCTCCAGCAGTGCCACTGTGTATGACTCTGCGAGCCGTTAGCGATTGCGCAGAACCAGCAATCCGGCACGCTTTGGTAGTCTCATTGTCTATGAAAACAAATACGCAAGCATGTTCAAGGATGCGTCCCCAGACCTACATCTTGCTGGTGCTCAGCTGGGAGCAAAAGAGTAAAGTGTTAACTTGCTGGTGCTCAGCTTTCATGCTTTATCTCCACAAGTGATCCAGAGAGACTTTCGAGCAGTGCTTTGCTACTAATGCATCAGGTTTGCATTGATCATTTCTTATTAATATTGATATTTTGGCTTAGGGGTCTTGGCCAGTGCAGCAGATTTTTTTGCTGTAAAAAAAAGATGTCTTGATACTTTTATCTTTTATCTCCACCTAAACTGTCAAAAGGCATTTGTATTGATCTTCATTTTGAAAAATGCAAAGAAAAAAATATATCCTAAATCAATTTTCCCGGTTTAAAATTTTAAGCAGGGCTGTGAACATGTACCACCATCCAGGTAGCCCGGAAGTTGAACATTGTTGTTGCTGAACATGGATATGTATGGGTATTGTTCTATCTATATATGTTCAACACCCGCAAAAAAAAACATTGCTGAACATGTGAACATTGTGTTTGTTGGTGCTGACAAGTACCATGAACATTGCTGGTGCTGAAAAAGTACCAGCATCCATGTAGCCCCTTTCTCATCCATGTAGTCCCTGAGTTTTAGGTAGCTGTTGGTGCTGCACAAGTACCATGAACCCTGTTGGTGCTGAAGAAGTACCAGCATCCATGCAGGCCCTCATTTTTGAAATGTTAGCTTTGCATAGGCCCTCTGGGTGATTTGTTTACGAAAAGCACGTTGTTGTTTTTTTTTGGGGGGGGACCGGGGGGGGTTGATATGTTTTGTTAATTTTTTCACACTGAAAAAGTATCAGTACCATCATCCATGGACACCACAAGATGGCCCTGCCCTGCAAAAAAAATGGGACATCTCTTCACTCAGAGAGTTGTACCAGGATCCTTAACTTGAGAATGGCCCAGCAAAAATTGAGATAGCTCTTCACTGAGAGAGTTATGCGAGGATCCATATCTTCAGATGGCCCTGCAAAAAAATGGGATACCTCTTCACTGAGAGAGTTGTACCAGGATCCTTATCTTGAGAATGGCCCAGCACAAGTTCTGAAAAATTATGTCAGGATCCATATCTTGAGATGGCCCTGCAAGAGTTACTTGAGATATAGGAACATAGATGGCGCTGCGAAAGTTACTTGATATAATAGGGACCCCACCACTCAAAGAGTTTTATCAGGATCCATGTAGCATTTTGGATCTAGTCAGAGATAGCTGAGAGAAGTTCATTTTGAAGACGTGTCAGAGTCTCAAAAAGGAGGGGGGGGGCAGGGCGTTGCAAAAAAGTCCATCTCGCCCTAGGCCAAGCTGATTGTTCTTCTTCAGGATCAGAGTCCTCCAAAGGCAGGGGGCCAAACGGGGACAGCTATGTTGAGTCAATGGTACTTTTGCAGCACCTTGATGCAACAATCTGGCATGGTGGTGCTTCTCCAGCGCCAGCCCAGGCATTGATGGGGCCAATCACTGTTGAAGAGGTGGCGCGCTGAGTGTCCAAGTGTGAGTGTTGGTGCTGTGTAAGTACCAGCTTGTACCTCCAGTGCTGAGTAAGTACCTGGATCCATCCATACACCTACAGATGACCTAAAATAATAAGATATACCTTATACGGTGCTGCGCAAGTACGTACAGGGACCTCATTTTTTGCAGTGTTCTTCACAATGTGGCACTTCTTCAGCGCCACAACATTACTGAACCAGATTCGTGCTTAATTTTAATGTGCCATGTTGCACATAATGTGAAACAATACCGTTTCGTTTGAACAAGTACCACCGTGGTGCTGAGAAAGTGGCACTAGCAATACAAGGGTGCTTCAAAGATGATTGCTTCAAATCAAGTTCAGCTGCACTTCAAAACTACATGTTTTCAAGGGTTTCTCATGTCACCCTGGCCTGCCATCAACGATCAGCATCGCTGTTCAGGAGGTCGTGGCCTTACTCGTCATGGAGGCAGGACCAATTGGGTTGGGGAGCATGAGCGGTTTCTTTCAGGACCATTGGGTGCTGAAAACATACCATGGTGGTGCTGCATCAGTACGATCTCCATGATTTTTTTCTTTATACATACATACATACATACATGCATGCATACATACATACATACATACATGAATACATGATCATACATACATTACATACATGATCATACGTGCATACATACATACATGCATAGGAAATGTGGTGCTGCACAAGTACCACATGCATAGGAAATGTGGTGCTGCACAAGTACCACTTGTTTTGCTCATTCTTCTTCAGCACTGGTACTTATTCAGCACCTTCTTTCTGTTTCAGAGGTACTTCCCCAGCACCTGCTATGGAAACAACTCCAAGTTTCTTGACCCATCATGCTCGGGGCTCAGTTTACGCATAGATGATGGGCTTCAACCGAACGTTGGAACACAAGAACATCCGCACCAGAAGTTTTTGCATGTCATGTATGATCATTATTTGCCGACCGCCATCTCAAATTCGAGTATATACATCAAACTTAACTTGACTGTGCCTGCGCGTTGTGTGATTCCGTCCCTCCCAACATTTTCCCAGCGTTGCGCAGCAAGCGTGCAGCAGCTTCTCACACATGATGTGCGGCGCCGCACTTTACTTGGTGACACTGCGCTTGCGCTTGCCACTTGGAACACTTTTTCTTGTATGGGGCTGGACATCTTCCACTCGACGAGGGTTGCTCACTCCGATTGCGATCATCTTCTGGTTGTCTCCGTAAAACTTGTGGTAGACATCCTGGACGGATGTAGAATCAAGATGTTGATCATTGATGTATAAATTCATTCAGAAATGACGCATGTGAAGAAACTGCTGCAACTGATGGCTACTGACAATTCTCCTCAAGTAGCTAGCCAAAAGAATAGGAAAGAAAGCGCATAAAACTTAGTGTAGCTGGCGAGGCACACAGCAGTCAGTGAGATTGGCAAACCCCAAGGCAGCATGGCCCACATCGTCAACCATGATCTTCGCATTGTCATACTGGGTCAGTGACACCACTTCGCAATAGATGCGAGTACTTGTGCACCAATGCATTGCCAGGGTCATTCCGACTTTCAAGCTCTTTATTTGTGATGCTCTTCTCGCTTCGATCACCTTGTCTCCACGTAGGATTGCCTCAGCATAGCATCTTTTGGTGAGAAGTGAGTAGTGCTGGGGTTCCTCCGACATGACGCAGCTGTGGGTCAGTCGAGTGGAGGCATACCAGCTTGAGCACAAATGTTATGTTTGGGCATGCGCGCATGTCAGCATGCACGCACGTGAGCTTGTGGATGTGCTTATTTCGGAGACTCGTTACTGGTACTTGTTCAGCACCACAACATCCTGCTGAAAAAAGTTCATGATTATCAGCCATATACATGAGAATGATATACGCACGCAAATTATCCGTATCTATTATGCAATATGTTCTGTTTTTTGCAGTTTTTGGAGAAATAGCTCAGTTTGACTTTGAAGTGTCATGCGCCACAAGAGACAGGGACTCAGAATCAGACACGCTCGGCGTAGTAGCCGCAGACCCAAGCCTAAGCGAGCCAAATTCATGATGCCCCCCTAAGCGAGACAAACCTCTTCCCGTTCCGGTACTTGCGCAGCACCATTCCAATAATTTCTATAAACTCGCATGGATTATGGATGATTGGCTCCAATGAGTGTGGGTCAAGTGCATTGTTCTTCTTCAGGATCAGAGTCCTGCAAAGGCAGGGGGCCAAACCGGTGCTGAGTAAGTACCTGGATCCATCCATACACACCTACACATTACTTGCTGGGTGCATTGTTCTTGTCTTGCAGGGTGCTGCACAAGTACCCTGGTTTTGTTGCTCCCGGTGCTGCGCAAGTAGTGTTTGTCTTGCAGGGTGCTGCACAAGTACCCTGCTTTTGTTGCTCCCGGTGCTGCGCAAGTACCTACAGGGGCCTCATTTTTTGCAGTGTTTGTCTTGCAGGGTGCTGCACAAGTACCCTGCTTTTGTTGCTCCCGGTGCTGCGCAAGTACCTACAGGGGCCTCATTTTTTGCAGTGTTTGTCTTGCAGGGTGCTGCACAAGTACCCTGCTTTTGTTGCTCCCGGTGCTGCGCAAGTACCTACAGGGGCCTCATTTTTTGCAGTGTTTCACGCTTCTGTTTCCACCGGCGAAACGGAAGCCAAAACGGAAGCGACAATAGAAGCAAGAACGGAAGCCATTTTTGTGGTTGTGGTAGCCAGTCCCAGTAGACTTTTGTCAGGCTGCTCCTTGCGTGGTCAGCTCATGTTCTTTCGTGGTCAGCTCAGCTCTGCGTGGTCAGCTCATCATTTTTTTGAAGCGGTGCATCAATGCAACTCATGGCTTTTTCACAGCACTGTATTGTTGCCGCAGCCACTCAAATCACAGTGGAGGAAATTTATTAAATAAACATTACATGCGTATGAAGAAGAAGAAGTGACCAACCTAAATTACATAACATAAGACACGCAGATAAAAATCACATTGGACAGTTCACTCCGCTTTGACGATGTGGCCTCACGGTCACCTGCCCGCGCCGCAGACTATGCCACCACAGGTGCCACCACAGGTGCCACCACAGGTGCCACACTTGGTGCCGCAGCAGATGCCACCGCAGATGCCAGTGATGCCCCAGCAGGTGATGATGCCAGGGCACCACCAGCAGCCCATGCCCCAGCAGGTGGCACAGGGGCCAGGGGCTGAGGGGCCAAAGGCGCCACAGCAGGTGGCACAGGGGCCAGCCCAAAGGCCAAAGGCGCCACAGCAGGTGGCACAGGGGCCAGCCCAAAGGCCAAAGGCGCCACAGCAGGTGGCACAGGGGTCAGCCCAAAGCCAAAGGCCAAAGGCGCCACAGCAGGTGGCACAGGGGCCAGCCCAAAGGCCAAAGGCGCCACAGCAGGTGGCACAGGGGCCACCACCCAAAGCGCCAGAGACAATGCCAAAGGCAGTGTCACAGCCCAGTGCCAAGACAACTGCAAACGCAAAGGCGTTACAGCGGTCCTTCGACAACCTGACCGAAATGCAGAGCCGGGCCCATAATGCTGAGCTCAAGGTGAAAAAGCTCGAGCGGGACAACAATCGACTTCGAGGCCGGTATCTTGGGTGTTCGTTCATTCATGGTACTGTGTAAGTACCATGCAATAAGTATCATACCATGCAATAAGTATCATTCATGGTGCTGCATAAGTACCATGCAATAAGTATCATTCATGGTGCTGCATAAGTACCATGCAATAAGTATCATTCATGGTGCTGCATAAGTACCATGCAATAAGTATCATCCATGGTGCTGCTTAAATACCATGCAAGAAGTATCATTCATGGTGCTGCATAAGTACCATGCAATAAGTATTATTCATGGTGCTGCGTAAGTACCAGCAAGGCTTAACCTTGCGTTTTGTTCTGTGTCATACAGCAGGTTGCTTTAGTTCTGATTCAGGTGAGCTCAAAGCTGCGCAAGATCTCGTGGAATCAACCAAGAATGAGTACAAGCGGGAGTTCCACACGACATTGCAGATCCGAATGAACAATTTCGAGCAGCACTCAAAAGCAGAGAAGGAGAAGCTGCTGAAAGAGAGGGACGACCTGTCCAATCAACTGTCCGAATTGCAAGCGACGCTGCTCTATGAGCGTCAGCTCAGAGATGAAAACAAGACGCTGCAAGGTGGCAAGAAGCTGTTTGCCACAAATTTTGTTTTGAGCTTTCAACAGTGCAGGTCTGCACAGTGACTTGCACAGTGGCTCTGCATGGCAGGTGACACCACCGACAAAGTAAAGGAAGAAAGAGAAGATGGAAAAAGAAAAAAAAAGAAAAAAAGAAGAGGACACTCTTGCAGTGAAACGTCTAGAAGGGGAATGATGCAACATATAATGTTTCTTGTTGATAGGCCGCTCTCCGTCCACGTCATTGCCAGGCAAGGTGGTTGATGTTGGGACGCTGTTTGCCACAAATTTTGTTTTGACCTTTCAGCAGTGTAGGTGACTTGCATAGTGGCTCTGCATGGCAGGTCACGCCACCGACAAAGGAAAGGAAGTTGAAGAAAGAGAAGATGGAGAAAAGAAGAAAAAGAAAAAACGAGGCTCTTGCAGTGAAATGTCCAGAACAGGAATGATGCAACATATCATTTAATGTTTCATGTTGATAGGCCGCTCTCGATCCGTGTCATTGCCAGGCAAGGTGGTTGATGTTGGGGGAAGTTATGGTGCTGTGGTGGTCCAGTTGATGACATGCTGTGGTGACCCCCCTAGTTTGCATCATTTTCCAGCTGGGACGCACCTTTCCCAGAAGAAGTGAAACAAATCCTAGAAGAGCCACCTACTACGCCACCTACTACAAGACAAGGCCGGGCTGTTTCAATATGTTCGAAAGATTTTTATGTTGTTTCTGTTGAGAGGCCCACCGGGTACCGTGGCCAAGTCGAAGGCCAAGCAGAAGGAGCGGCATGACAATGAGTGAATGGCGACGGGCAAAAAAGATGGCAGCGCATCAAGCTTGCGAAAGTGCCAGATTGTTCTTCTGTGGGCTGGTGCTGGGCAAGTACCGCTGTAATACAACGTGTGTGCATCATTTCCTGCAGTTCCTTGACTTGCTTTTGCTGTGGTTTTGCTTACCAAGGTCGATGACTGCCGTGCAGTGCCTCCCCGCCGAGTCTTTCTTGTCTTTCAGACAAGGGAGGATAGCTTTTGTGATGTGGTGCTGTGGTGCTGAATAAGTACCATTATGCAAACAGTGCTGAAGAAGTACTGTGATTTGCTCTGTGTGTGTTGCTGTCTGGGTTTGTCTTTCTGGCCGTTATAGTATTCACATAGCCAGGTTGCAGCGAGGAGCACGAAAAGACTTCTTCAGATCTGTAACAATCTCGGCAGTACGACAAGACTTCTTCAGTTCTTTAGACGTGCTTGCAGTATGACGATTTCATCAGTGCATGTGTGGACTGCAGCCATTTTGGGCTGACCAGTGGTCAAATCTCCATCCGTCATATCAGTCTTACAGAACATATTTGATTATGGATTCTATGAGAGGAGATCCAGCCATTGAACCGTTTCAGTCAGAGTCAGATAGATCTTGGGTCTGGAACAGGCCAAATATCAATCCATCATATCAGTCTTACAGAACATATTTGATTATGGATTCTGCAAGAGGAGATCCAGCCATTGAACCGTTTTTCAGTCGGAGTCAGATTGACCTTATAGTTTGGGCTTGGGAAGCAGCTGCCATGATTCCTGGGTTTGCAACAAGGCTGGATGGATCCTCCACAGCAATGTCAAAGCCACCAAGGCTCTCTTCGTCCACAACAACACCCAAGGCCTTTTCATCGACAAAGACATGGGAGCCAACTACAGAGCAGCAATGGGAGCCAACTACAGAGCAGGTCGATCTTTGGAGGTTGTGGGAGAGGAATCGATGGAAGTGGGAAAAGCAAACCCAAATCCCTGTGCTAAATATGAGTTGGCTTTCGGTCTCTGATGAAGGTCGAGTTGGTTGTGTCATTTGCAAGATGACAAAGCAAGACAACGAGTACGGCAACTATGATGTGATCACAGGCAACTTCAGCAACATGAAGCGGCACTCGGAGTGCAAGCAGCACCAGCAAGCTTTGGCGCAGCTGGGGCTGATTGAGGTCACTGCGGACGAAGATGCTCCAAGCATGAGTGCGTTTGAGCAGGTGGCCAGGGGTCGAATGAAAGGCCCTTCAGCCCTCAGACATGGAGAAGCTGGTGTTGGTGGCCGCAAGAAGATCACTCATATGGTGCAGTGTTTGGGTGATGCAGTGTTTGAGTTGGACAGACGTTTCATAGCCACTGCTGAGACAATCACACTGCATACAGATGTCAGGCAACTCAAGCTCTTGGTTCGCTTTCGTGCTGCAAATCAGAAGCTGCAAATCCGACGAGGGATTTTGGGCATCAAGGATTTGGAGAGAGACTCGGCATCAACATGAGACTCTCAATGACCTTTTTTTTTGTTTTAACATGGGGTAGCCCCTCAGTTTTAGGTAGTTATTGGTGCTGCGCAAGTACCATGAACCATTCATCCAGGATACATCCAGTTCAACCCTGTTGGTGCTGAAAAAGTACCAGCATGCATGTAGCCCCACCCTCATCCATGTAGTCCCTCAGTTTTAAGTACTTGTTGGTGCTGCACAAGTACCATGAACCCTGTTGGTGCTGAAAAAGTACCAGAATCCATGTA